CCATCCAGCTCCTTGGCTTCGCCGATGACATTGACATTATGGCACGGAACTTTGAGATGATGGCGGAAACGTACATCATACTGAAGGCTGAAACTAGGCGGATTGGACTAGCCATCAACGCATCAAAGACAAAATACATGAAAGGAAAAGGTTCTAGGGAAGACAATGTTAGCCTCCCAACCCGAGTTCAGATTGACGGTGACGAAATCGAGGTGGTCGATGAGTTCGTGTATTTGGGCTCACTGGTGACCGCCGAAAATGATACCAGCAGAGAAATTCAAAGACGCATTATGGCAGGGAATTGTGCCTACTTTGGACTCCGGAGGACGCTCCGGTCGAATAAAATTCGCCCCCGCACGAAGTTGATTGTCTACAAGACGCTGATTAGACCGGTGGTCCTCTACGGCCACGAGACCTGGACTATGCTCGTGGAGGACCAACGCGCCCTTGGTGTTTTCGAACGGAAGGTGTTGCGTACCATCTACGGTGGAGTGCAGATGGATGACGGAACGTGGAGGAGGCGAATGAACCACGAATTGCACCAGCTTCTGGGAGAACCAGCTATCGTCCACATTGCAAAAATTGGGCGACTACGGTGGGCTAGGCACGTCGTAAGAATGCCGCACGACGACCCAGTGAAAATGGTTCTAGAAAGCGACCCAACAGGAACAAGAAGAAGAGGCGCACAACGGGCAAGGTGGATCGACCAAGTAGAAGGTGACCTGCGGACCCTTCGCAGACTACGAGGCTGGCGAACTGTGGCCATGGATCGAGTAGAGTGGAGATGACTTCTTCGGACAGCAGAGGACAACAAGGCCTTAGCCTGATTGGTAAGGTGAGGTAAGATTTTTGGTAAACTTTCCGGGATGTCCCGGGTAGAAAACACTATTTCGAAGGTAAGTTCAGGGAGGTGGGAATTTCAACGATCTTCCGAATGTAAGTTCTGGGATCTTCCAAAGACAAAATCTGCAAGCTCCGTGAACTGTAGAAAGACTTTTTTTTTTGGGAACATTCTAAGGCAAGTTCAGAACCCTTCCATAGAAATCTTCAGATGGCATTTCTATGAACTTCGGAGGCAAGTTTTAAGTAATTTCGAAGACAAGTTTCAGGAACATTCAGAGACAAGTAGGCTGCTTAGGAAAATGTCTTGCAACTTTCATCGAAAAATCTTTCAAAATTTGTTTCCTGGGAATCAGGAAACGTGATTTTTGGTAAATTTCCCGGGATGTCCCGGGTAGGAAACATTATTTCGAAGGCAAGTTCAGGGAGCTTCCCGTGGAAATTTCAGCGATCTTTTGAGTGTAAATTCTGGGATCTTCCAAAAACAAAATTTGAAAGTTCCGTGAACTGTAGAAAGACTTTTCTTAGGAACATTCGAAGGCAAGTTCGAAACCTTTCATAGGAATCTTCAGATGGCATTTCTATGAACTTCTGAGGCAAGTTTTAGGAAATTTCGAAGACAAGTTTCAGAGACAAGTTGGCTCCTCTTGGAAAATGTCTTGCAACTGTCACCGAAAAATCCTTCAAAATTTGTTTCCCGGGAATCAGGAAACGTGATTTTTGATAAATTTTCCGGGATATCCCGGGTAGGAAACACTATTTCGAAGGTAAGTTCAGGGAGGTGGGAATTTCAGTGATCTTCCGAATGTAAGTCCTGAAATCTTCCAAAGACAAAATCTGCAAGCTCCGTGAACTGTATCAAGGTGCAAGGTCAGAAACCTTCCATAGGGGACTTCAGATGGTTTTCCTATGAACTTCTAAGGCAAGTTTAAGGTAATTTCGAAGACAAGTTTCAGGAACATTCAGAGACAAGTAGTTAAAGGATCTTCTTGAGTCATATTCAGCGATCTTTTGGATTTAGTTCTGACTGGAGTTCTGACAACTGCAAACTTCCGGAGCCATGTTCAAAAGTCCTCCAGAGACATGTTTTCATATATTGTCAGGATAAGTTCTGAAATCATTCAAATACAAGTTCCGGCAATTTCTGAGGTAATCTTCCGAAGCCAGGTTATGCGGACTTCCAGACAAATTCAGGTAGGTTGCTCTATGAACGATGGAGGCAAGATATAGGAACTTTCAAAGACATGTTTGGGTAACATTCAGAGGTAAGTTAAATACTCTTCCGGAAACAAGTTCGGAAATCTTTCGAAAGCAAGTTCAGGGAATTTCAAGGAAAAATTTCAAGGGTTTTTCAAATGCACGTATCTTAGAAACATTTGACGGGAACTTCAGCGAACTTTTGGAGAGAAAGGGCTGATCATAAACTTACGTAGACATTTCCTGAGTGGTCCATTCTTCCCGCGTAGACACATTTTTGAAAATTTGAAACAGCCTACAAGATGTAGATTATGTTGAAGACAAGATAAGATTATGACTTTCGGTGCCTTGTTCTGACAAGTTTGGAGATTTCTCAAACACAATTTCTGGAATCTTCTGAAAACAAGTTTCGGAAACTCTCAAAAGCAATTACTTAGGTAAGGTAAGGTCGGACAACTTCCAATGACATGTTCTCTAGGAAGTTTGGAAGCTAAGATCTAGGAAGTTTCGAAGATAAGCTTCAGGAACATCAATGTTAAAGAATTTTCTGGTGATTTGTTCAAGGATCTTCCGAAAGTAAAATCGTATAGACCTTTTTAATGCACCACCAACGTAGAGGGCACCACGCGAGTTTGAGAGGAAACGTCAACCAAACCGTTTGTTTACATCACAACACAAATTAAAGCATTTTTCATTGAACATCTTGCCAATTTCCATCAGTAATTGTCTTATTTTACGATTTTCCACACATCTGAACTGATTTGCACCTACATTATTCACACACAAGCAATCCGGATGATCATAACCACTAAGGCACTATTGGAATTTTGCATTTTTCTCAACAAAAATATTGCAGAATTCTTGCAACAATGATATAGAATTAAATTTTTCAACTATAGATCAAGTTTTCGAGCATCTTAGATTAATCAATTATCAGGAAAAGTGAAAAGTGTTCCGCTTCCAATGTCTCACGGCAAAAATTTCTGCTCACAACACTCTTATTGACGCTCTTATATTCACCACCAGAGGTTGAATTGATCGTTTCTATTAAAAAGGCGTATTGTTTTCCGACACAAACTCAGGGATCTTTTGGAGGTAAGTAGTTCGAAAGACTTTCGAAGCAAAATTTTAGAAACACCCGGAGGCAAATTTCGGAAGACGATCGCAGGAGGCCGCGCTTGAAAGCTGACGTGTTTTTCTTTTGCTGCGTATTTTTCGTAATCGAATTAAACACATTTTGGCTTTAAATTTGTTAATTCGTGTGCTGAAATTTAGTTGCAAGTGTTCATAAAGTTATCATTTAGTATATCGTGTTTTGCCTGTGTTTGCTTTGAGTGGCTCGGTTGAAGTTGAATCTAACCTCCAAAATATACAACACAGATTCAGTTCCATTGTTTGGTGTCGATTTTCATTGCCTCTCGGGAGCCCGGTTCTCCGAGTTCTATTGAGAAATCGGTCCGGTTGGTGAATTAGCCCGGGAGCGTGTTGATAATGTGTCCGTCGCGAGTTTTGGTGGTGATTCAGTGGCCGACGTTGCCGTGAATCAGCAAGTTTTCCGCTTGCAAAAGTGCTCGGCTGCTGGTCTCTGGTGTCGGAGATTGCGAGCAATATGAAAGATGCCTCGCTGGATAAGCTCAAGACTGGACGGGTGGTAGCTGATGGCCGCGAAAGGTTCCTAGGGAAAGCACTAGACGCAAGCCTCCTCCCAGATGACCATGGCAATGCAAGAAAAATTGTGTTCATCGAAGGAAGTATTAATTAACGTGGTGAGACCAGTCCTTTTCACTTTTCATAATTAAAATAAAAAATAAACTATATACCTGCCAGGATTCAAAAGAACATTTTGAAACGGGAAGTGTACTACTAATATCCAAATTGATAGAGGTAATACATACATGCGGGGCTTATTGTAAGTGAAAGCAGTGGCGTCGCGTAACCTCACTTTTTACCTGTTCAACGACTTTGAAAACGTTATTTAGGGTCATGCTTACATTCAAATCAGTTTCAAAAGGCACAGGATCTTCTAGTTTCACTGATTTGTGCTGATTTGTATCCATTGGAAGCCATTTCTTTTAATTTTTTTAAGTTTTGAGAGTTGTTGAACAGGTAGATTGAGGTTAGGGCGACGCCACTGAGTGAAAGTAACCTCGGAATGGGCGTGACTCTTCAGCCATTCTGAAATGAGTTGCTGGATTTGCAATAGAGCTATCATCTTCTAACTCCCGGACTAAAGCTGTCTATAATGACCATAAATGCGACATTGTAGAGAGAGTTCTTCCATAATAACACTGCCGGCCAGTGGGGGTTAGAGGGAATACACACACACACACACACACCCGGAGGCAAATTTCGGAAAGTTTAGCTCGACGATCTTCCAGATGTAAGTTCAGACATCCTTCGAAACCAATATCTTCATAGCAGGAAAGTTCAAGTAATTTTCCGAAAACAAGCTCATGAATATGATGAAGGCAAATTTTAGGAGCGGAAGGAAAATTGCGGAAGTTCTGAGATAGGTGTTTTGGAGTTCCATTTTTCACACTAAAATATATAAAAAACAGCGAGAATTGATTTCTGAAGACATGCTCTCGCCGTCTTTTTCGCCTACATGCTATTTTGCGGTTTAGATTTGTTTTTGGATCACTTCACTTAAATGCTTCGCCTGGTTTTCTTAAAACGTCATTATCGCCCTTTTGATGATCTGCCCTACATCGCTCACCAAACAGCAGGATGATAGTTTAGAGAACTATTCGGAAACTTCTTGTAACTAACCTTGAAGGGCTTTGATAACAAAACATTCAGAAAGTTCTCAGAGTCTACACACTTTTTTTTGTATTGCGATGGAAACCAACAAAATTTCGCCAAGCTGGAAAAGCTGCAATCCTTCCAGCAAAGAACATTTTAATCGTTTCTTCGTTTCCAAGGCATTGTTGCCCCCCCCCCTCAACAAAGAAAGACACACTTACATAATCATCGGCTGCACCTTGGACACGATCTTGACGCACAGCTTCAGCGAGGCGGCCACCTCGTTCGAGTTCATGTTCTCCGAGTACACCGTCAGCATGCGGATCAGCGAGAGCAAGAACTTGGGCAAATACACACGCGTCGTCTCGTTGTAGATTTCCAACGAAAGCGTTTCGAGCAGGAACTCCGTCAGATAGCACACTTCAACCGTCCCCGGTGGATCGGCGTCTATTCGGATGTGTTCCTTGATATTGACACTGTTCACCGTTGCACTACCGCCTCCGGTTGGCTTCACTAGTTTCTTCATGGCTGCATCCCGATACAGGGTTGTCATGTAGTTCCAGATGTACGACGGATCGAACGAGGAAAACAGGAGATTGGCTTGCTTTTGCACTTCGTGGTTTCCGTTGCACAGCGAAATCGTCCGGATGATGTCACACAGCACATAATCCAGTATGCGTTGACCGATTTCGGCTTTGTCGAGAAGTGAGATCAGTATCCGATATGGGCTAAGATCCGGCGGGTTGGAGGTGATGCTGGATGTTAGAATGAGTTTGTACGCACTGATGAGCACCTGCTTTGAGTTGGACTCGAAGTAGGTGTTGGGGTCACTGGTTTCCCCGTCGTGACCGATATCTTCCAGGTGCTTACCGAGACTGGTGTCCGCCCCGAGAAGCCAGGAATAGAGCCGTCGATTTAGCGACATGTCTCGCCTCAGGATGGTGTTGAGTGCGGTTTTCACTAACTTGGTGACATCCCGCTGCGATAGGATCATTAGGTGCAGGGGAAATGCCAGGAGTAGGAACTCCAGGGTGTTCCGTTGAACTAGGATCACAGAATCGTTCAGACAACTGCACAGACCGGTGACTAGCAGTTCTACACTACCTCCCATCAGTTCTTTCTGCTCGGAGCAAATGCGTTTCTTATCAAAGTGTTCCAGCACGTAGCTTATGGCTGGGAGGCGTACGGAAGCATTCGTGACTATGCATTCCCACAGGCAGGTGTAGAAGCATTCCGGTTTAACGGCGGCGCAAACTTTGTCCAGCAGTGAGCTGGTTCGGTCGAAGTGATCCTGTCCGGATTCCAGACCCGGGAACACACCACTCAGGAATCCACTGAGGGCGGGTCGCAGCTTTTCGCCCAGTGGAACGAAATACTTTTCGTAGATCGAAAGTAGCGTAGGACGAACGTTCATGGCCGAATAGCCCAGCAAAGGGAACAAACCCGCACTGTAGATGAACAGTTCGGAGGCCAACCGATCGACCCCAATGTTGCTGAATATCACATCGTACGACTCCAGTGCCTTCAGGTGCACCCCGGACGGTAGCGCTGGGTGCATGCATTGTGCCAGCCGTTTCGAAATCTTGATCCGCCTGGGAATGATCTGATACTGTGAGTTGGAGGAGATGACCTTGTTCAGTTTTCCGAGAGCCGAAATCAGATCGGCCCACTCGCTGGAGTACTCGAAGTTCTTCAGCGCCTTATCGATGTTGGACATGTACACCCGGTACTTGGACTGCTTCATCAGGTCGTACTCTTCCATCAGTCCGGAGCCCGTGGCCGTGTCCATCTTCAGCTTCGGTGATTTCACCCTGCGAGGAGAAAAAACAAACATAACGAAATTAGCAAACTATCGTTAATTGACTGTAAATTAATTGAAAAGCTACATTTTGCGCAGGGCTTGGGAGAACCTAGATTTGAAAACAACTGCTTCCAGCAGCAGACACTTCCTGAATGCCGTTCGAAAGTTAGTTCACCACCACAACAATGCCCTAATAGCAAATATCAATAACATAGTAAAGACGACAATATAGATTCACTCACAACAACTGTGCTGTCGCGGTAGGTTGTAAACTTGTCTCCTTATCATTCCGGTCGAGTCGAGATTGACAAAGGTAAACATCGAGTTTGCGCACGTGAGTCACCGGATTCGATAATAAATTCTCTTTGGTTGGGCGAGGTATTGAAGGACAGTGTGTCGAATGCCTACTTATCGGGAAACCGAAAAATCTACTTTCGGAACAGAGTTTCATCAGCAAACGAGGTCTTCTACTAGGGCTGTTATCAGTTAAGCCGTCATGCGTTGTGTGAAATTCTCTATTTCAAGAAGAAACAATTCGAGTCTTGTTGCCGAGATGGTCAGTGACCTTCGACAAGTGTTGCGAACTTTACTATTTTGGGAGAGCAGGTCCGCTTCATCGCATTGTTTTGAGTAGTTACGGAGGTAATTCTGAAAACCAAATTATGTAAGCTAGGAAGATTTTGATAACACAGCTCGTTTGTTGTATTTGTTCTACTTGGCACTGAAACTAAACAATTCGATTATCAGTATAGTGTGTTAGCATACAAAGAAGCGTGTGCTACTGCTAACGAAACTAATTCAAGCCAGTACTATCATCTTCTCAGATCAATATCCACCGTTAGGAGGTCGTGTGGCGGGTTTTTCCAGATTTGATATTGTCGTTATCTTTTTATGATTCGCTTGAACTGGAGCAAATGTGTTCATCTTTGATTCTGGTCAAATGTTTTTTTTTAAGAGCTGTAATTTGCTGCATTCTGAGGCTTTGAATTTATTTCAAAACATCAGAATTGTTAATTATTTTAAAATATTAGAAGTTGCGAAGCAATCAAAATACTGCGACTAAGACAATCTATTAAAAAAAACTCTGACTTGAAGAAACTTTCATGAGTCTAAAAAAATGCGAAAAGAAATATCCTATAATTCCACGGAACTTGGTGAAAGTCTCTGCAAATTTCCTTTATTAAATGGGATTGCTCTGAAGCTATCGGATCATCCTCGATGTACGGTGGACTTCGCTGAATATCATGAACCCATCTAAAAGTTTCTAAATTTATTTGAATTATCTCTGTAGTTTTCTGGAATATATCGCATTTTTTAATTAATGGAACTGTCTTTAAATTCTTATCATTTAGTTAAATTTTCGCCTATTTTGGAAGTTCTTGAAATTCCCGTGATAATCATGTAACATTTTTTAAATTCTTTCAATTTTTTTGATGTCAACTTCCCTTACGTTCTAGAAATTCTTTCGGAGCTTTGCTGAAGATTTCGAAATTTCCCTGAATTTCCCGAAACTGCTGTATGTTTTCTACAAGATGTTTTAGGAACTTTTCTTATGTTCCCGCAGCTTGTTTATTAAGCTTCACTGAAAGTCTAAGCATTTCCTTTCACTCCTCAGATCTTCTGTTATATTCTTATAACTGATGTTAAGTTAATAAGACTTCACTAAACATATCTAATATTTCATAAAGTTAAATACAAACTTGACAAAAATCAGTTTTTTTTTTCATAACTATGGCACTATGATAATTTTAAATACCATAAGTGGGGGTGACAATGGGCCAAAAAATCTAAACTTTTCGTTCCCTACCTTACAGCATTCACATTTTAGCAAGGACAACAATTTTAAGTAGGTGAATATGTTCATCAATGATATATTTACGACTGGCATAGAATTCGTTGATTGAAATTGATATCTCATTTTACTAAAATTAAATAAAAAAAGTAGATCAATGTTATAGGAGAAATGGCCTAAATGCCCCTAATTTGGGCCCATACATAAATTCAGCAATCGACTAAATTTTCAATAGCGACCAAAAATATCCATTAGTACCGTCCCAATGACGCGTTCATCTAGATAAAATTGATAAATAGCAGATTTTCAGCGATGGGCCCAATCTTAGACCCATAGGCCAACATTAGAGCCATTTCCTCTATCTTAAGGGGGGTAATATTTTGCTTTTTATTGGTTTTAGTGCTAAAGGTTGAACACGAAAAAATCCGGACACGAAAATATTGTTGGGGTTTTAAAATTCGTTTTATTTTTCATAGTTCAATGTAATAACTATACATTAGTAGGTATTGTTTCAGTCTTCAGGCCATTGCTCGAACTTTCCTTCATACACGGCCCATCATCTTTTGCACTTGTTTGGCTGCCAAATTCCATTTCCGCTTGAAATCCTTCCACCCTGTTTTCTTCAGTATGTGTTTCACAATTGACCAGGATTCCCCAATAAGCCTTAGTTCCGGAGTATTGGTCGGTTTCAACTTCTTGGAAACCACTGTGGCGCCCTTTTCGCTGAACCATTGTATGGTGGAATTTGAGTAGTGGCAGCTTGCCAAGTCCAATAAGCAATCCACCTCATCCAGAAAAGGCAGTAGTCTCTTCCGTAGGCACTCCTCCTGGTAAATTAGCTGGTTCATAGTCCCTGAAGCAACGAAAGTTTCGCTTTTCAGCACACAACTGTAGATTGCTTGCCCGACAAGAATTTTTTGGGGAATTTCGACTTCTTTTTGATTTTTTGGGGCACTCTTCCGGTCAACCGCGGTATAAAATTCCTGCCCAGGAATTGGATCGAAAACTGCCAGGAGCGGATAGACCGGGATTTTCGTTTCGAGCGTGCAGGATCGCGACGTGATTGCTCCGGTGCAAAACGTGATGTAAACAAATGAACTTATCCTGACAACCAATGCCTACTGTGATTCTTTACACTCTTAGCTTGGTTCAGTGAAATTTAAAAAAAAATATATAAAATGCCTTCATGTGTCTAGATTTTTCGAGTTCAACCTTCATCACATCAGTTGAGTTTTGCCAAATAAAATTAATATTTTTTTATTCCAGTAATAATTTGTTTCTAGTCAAAGACTTACCGGATGCTTGGATACGGTTATTATTTTCTCATTGGTTAAAGTAAGTTAATTTTAATAGCACCAACTGAAAAGATACTGAGTTGAGGTCTCGCTTCTGAGTGGATATTTTTGATTGGTTGGGATGGCAGAAAAAAAATCCGAAAACAAGAATGAATATTTGCGCAGGTAGCCATATTCAGCCTCAAATTGGACCTATCTTATATTACAATTAGACCCTAGGGCCAAAAACTGGAGCACTAGTGCCAAAACTGGGATTGCAGCAGGATTCGTTTTGGTAAACGATATATGTACTGAATTGATGTCCTAACGATTCAATATCGCGAAGGAGCTTGGGTTTGAACCCACGGACTTCTGCTCAGTAAGCAAAATCGGTCACCACAAACAATTACGATCAAGTTACCGTTCAACTTGTTTTTACTAGGTTTCCTGACCGACGACGACACCAACTGCTCTTGAGAAGGATTTGATATGGATTTTAGATCAAAACGTTTTTCCTAAAACTCAAGTATTACTTCTTTTACGTACCTGGCCTTCCAACCGAATTTTTCTACGCTTTACATCATATTATGAAAGAAAGCCGATTTAAAGTATAACTCTATAATGTGAAGGAGGTAGTAAGGTGATTCCTTGTAGAGTCCACAAATGGCCGCCACGTAGGCTATACATCAGGGTGGCCAGACCTACCGATTTATCAGTAGTCCTACCGATTCACAGACGAAAGGTAAAAAACTACCGATTTTTCACTTTTCCTACCGAGAATCACAGATTTTTAGTAATCTTGAAAAATTTTCAATACCTATGTTTTGTTTTCCGTGTAATCAGAATTAGCATTAGAATTAGAAATATTGATTTCGACACGTTTAAAGAAGAAGAACTAAAGGACAGTGTATTGTCCGCTCACAAAGGTTTCAAGTATCGGGAAAGCCTTCTTAAGATGGCCTACCGATAACTACCGATAAAATATTTGAGAAGCGATATTTGGATTGTTTTAATTTAATGAAAACTTTGAAAATTTCTGAGGAGCAAAACTCCTTCAGAGCAACATTCTAAGGGCCTTCTGAGGATAATTTTATAAAGTTGTGGGAGAAAACGAAACCGGAGCATAAGTCCTTGGAATCTTTTTGAAAATACTAAAAGGAGGATTACAATTTAATCTGAGAACAACACCAGAACATCTTCAAAATTATATTTTGAACGCATTTAAAGAATAGCTTTCTGATTATAAACCTGGCATTTATCCGTTAAAGTATGTAGTAGACACCCTGTACGAGTAGACACCCTGTAGATAGAGAAAGACGATTAAACGCCACAAAGCAAAGAATGATCTATCTTGAAATAAATTCACGCTAAAAAAGTTGAAAATAGTGACTGATTACAAGAAAAAGTGACTTTAGAGACTTGACCTTAAAAAAAGAGACTATTTAGTGACTGACTTGAAAAAAGTGACCAAGTCACTAAAAAGTGACTCGCTACCAGCCCTGCAATTACACAAATCTCGGAAATCGGTGTCCTATTTCACTTGAAATTATTACTTCATTTATGCTGCAGTGCAGCAAACGTGGAGCAACAATTTGAATGTTGCACGTGCCGTAGAAGCTAATATTTGTGCACTTAAAGTTTCGAAGTGGTTCCGAGAATAAAGATGTCATAACCAGTGTTGGCAAAATCATCAAACAAATGATATTTTTTCGCTCTCATACGCTCTCAATATCACGCTTTATATTGGAGGAAAATACCGTGCTTGATATTGATTTTACAAGCTCCTTTGATATGGCGAGACAATTCACAACGTGTAAAGTAGAAGTTGAGAGTTGAATCGACACAAAAATGATTCCGTTGCACCTCGTTTTCTTAGAAAGAGAAGGTATAATACTGCTATCTCTTTTTTCTTTCTTCACCGATGGCAGATACGAAGCGACTGCT